AAATTAAAACTAAATAATTGTAAGTTTGCTTGTCATTTCCCCTTTTTTCCAACTGTTTACTATTTTAAACGTGTTGCCAAGTAGATAATTTATTAGATTTCATAATCAAATAAATATGCATATGCTTGAAAGATATATTAATAATTTTCTTTTCACTTTTTCCCCAAGAAATATATAATTTCTATTATTAAAGCACTTTAAGTGCTGTTATAACTTAGAATCCTACTAAAATGAATAATAGAAATTATATATTATTATTATTTAATTGTTCTCTTTTTTGTGATTTCTTAAAATTAGTTATGCTTATGCTGGGTGTTTCTGTTTTTCAATATTCCAATTTATGGGTTCGCTAATTTAAATGCGAATGGGTGGCATAATAAACTAATTAGGAGTCGAATGACGCAAATCCGTGTTGTTTATCCCAAAAACGAAACCCGATATACTTTCACCACGGTAATCAAATCTAAACTGCTCCTGCAAAATCCATAGCATCGTAAATCATCCGGGGATCCATGTTTGCGAAGGGAAAATTACCATCTAATACTTTGCAATTTACAATTACAGCAATGCCAGCGAAATGGACAGCACTTGGGATGAGGGGCACTTGCTCCTCCGACTGAGAGGGTCTCTCCACCTCCCCCCCGTCGTGTAAATGGAACTCGGAACCGCTGTCTTCCGGAGGGGGGTGCCTGCCAGGTCTATTTATAGCAATGCTCAAGGACGTCAAATATACACAGACAGACTTTTGCCTTAATTTATAAGCACGCAAATCGCGTGTGGCATAGTGATATATATATACATATAGATGTTTATATGTACTTGTATGAATTTTCATGAACGCAAAGTTTGGGAAATGCATACAAAGGCCGAAAGTTGTTGCTATGACTCAACGGTTCTTTGATTTCCTCCTTTATGCTACAAGTCAAAAGGAAACTGCTTTCATTATGTTCTTGTTGTTTTCCTGGGCTTCTGTATTTTGATATACGAACAATTAGCCATGGTTTCTTATGGTCTGCGTGTGCTACTTTTATTTGTAAACACGACTCGATTTTAAAGGTGAAAGAATAAACAAGTAATTGTAAGGAAATTTCCCAGAGTCCATATAGTATATAGTTATATGTGTAAGGCAAACATACAAATTAAATTAGCGCATTTGATTTTGTCTGTCTATATCAATCTCTTTGGTTTAGCACCGGAAATGTTCATTTTAATAACACGGCGTATACGTAATTTGCGCAATTCGTTCCCAAAATTCAGATTGAAGCGGTTCCAATGATGATAAGTGAAATTGAAAGGTTAAATACGATTTTAGAAATTTGTGATTCATTGAATTTTAGTTTAGTAAATGCTAAATAAATTAGATTGGCAAATAATAAATTGATGAATGCGTATCACAACAGTTGCCCTTCGGTTTTATTCATAGTTTAATGGCCTGAAATTGTGAAAAATTGATTTGGCAAGTTTTGTGCAAAATCCCTGAGCCGTACCACATGACGTATGCGTAATTTTTCACACACTTCATTGATTTAACAAGGAAGCGGCGGTGTCCTGTTCCCAGGACGGGGGATTCTTTGCTCAATTTATGCTCGACTTGAGTATGTTGTCAGGCTCAGTCATGTTATTCTAAAATTTAATATTTACGCTTCAGAAAGCATTATCATTATTCAATGTCAAAGCAGAGTCTTGCGAGTATGACAGAACTCTGAACCGAAACTAGAACCACTTTCGCACTCTTCGTGTATTATTTAGCACCCATTCGAAGGCACAATGTAAATTTGTAATACGAGAAGGTTTATTAAAGAGAGTGAGTATTAAATATTGGTTATAATACGCCCCAACGATGGGTAATTACAGGCAGCCGGTATTCCGGCCCAATCCAGAGTGAATGTAAATAATTTAAATGGCCCCAGCATAAGCGATCAAAGTCATTACGATTTTGTGTAATTATAATTATTGAATTAATAACCCGATATCACGGCTGGAGTGATTCACTTAGCCGGAATTATTAAATCAATAAAATTATCAATCTCATTAGCATGAAGGTTGCCAAAGCGCTTTCTTTTTTTTGCAACTCGGGGGGGAAATGTTTCCCTTTCCCCTCTTTGCTTTTTGCACTTTTTGTTATTTTCTTTTGTGAAAGTTCAAGAAACTCATTGCCGTAAAAGGAATCAAACTTTGTACGTTGCTCTGATATAAATCGGTGCCCGTTAGTGAGTTTAACTTGTCTGTCAAGCACAAAGAACCAAGGTCCTGACAACTACTTTCACAGGGGAAAACGCACAAAGGACAATGCAAGTTAGAAAGACTTGCTAAACGGAACAATGATGACAGAAGCGATAGCTTTCTTTGCTTAAATAAAGATGTTATGGCGGAGCGGAGCACTAAAAATCGATACAAGGAGATAGGGAAATGCACCGAAAAAATTTATTAAAATAATGAGGAATTAAGGAATGTTGGCTGAATTTACGGATATTAAATTGTAAAGTAAACGTAAAGTACACGTAAAGTAAATCGTAAATAAATATACACATGAAATACACTACATTAAATACACTATTTCAATAGGTTCCAGTTCTGGCAAATAAGTTTCTATAATTATAAATATTAATTTGATACATATACATTTAAATTCTATATTTATAGGGGTTCCCCGAGAACTTATTTTATTTTTCTAAGCAATTTCCGGTGGAGGCGTTTGTTAATTATAATATTTTAACACGATTGTGGCAATAACTTTTTCTTACCCAGTTTACAAATAAAGATCATAGTTTTTGTTTAGTGTACAGGTAAGCCTGAGACCAAGAAGCCTTTGGAAACTGCAGCAAACCGCATAGCCTTAATTGGCATAGCATGACACCGTAGCTCCAAAGACTCCAGCGTGGAATTCAATTATGAAACTAATGAAAACAAATATAGCTCACCCAGAGATGCGGAAGCGGGGTGTCTTAACAGCTCAACTTGACCCGCCACAATCCCTTGGAAGGCGACTGCAAGTTGCCAGGACAACGGTTATGGAAACTACGCTTATAGTATATCCTAGGGCAACGCCGCCAGGAGCTCTGGCTCCAGCCTGGGCCACCACAACGCTTTGGGACAATAGACGAATGCACTGGTCATCGAGCCCGGCATCGCGTCGTCCTGCGTGCGTCCTGCGATGTTGATACCACCAATTCGCGCCGTAAACTGAACCCAAAAAACCAAGGCAGGAAAATCGTATCCACCGCTCGCTCAGCCTCTGCACTGCACGGAGCAAAGCGAATGAAAATGTAGGCGAGTTGTATTTTCACAATGCCGCCATGTGCGCGCCGGTGGCGGTCGCAAATCAGCTGAGAGACCGCCCCACATCGAGCGGTGGAGCGCGCACGCTTTTCTCGAGTGACGTCACTCCCATTGCGACTCATGCGCAGCCAACAGAGAGAGACAGAGAGAGAGCGAGATACTTGGATACCAAGTATCTGGCCATGAGTATCTGTATCTCGAGGAAGTCGCCTGCTGTGGCGCCGTGTGTGCTTCAAACGAATGCATGCTTGTTGCGCCATTCGAATCCCCTTCACCCCATTTTGGTTAAAGGAAGGAAGATGTGTGGACGTCGCTCCCTTATTAGACCAGGGCTGGTCGATGGCGTCACAGAGCGCTACAAAGAGAACTGGCGGGCATATCTTTTTGTAGGGAAAATACAATAATAAATGAAAATATATTTAGGAAAATCAATAGGTCTACAATATACTATTTTCTTCCATTCTTGTTAACACCTAAAAAGTCTTAAAAATGTATTAAACTTTTATGAAATATTATACAATACATAAAAAAAATTATTCTAAAAAAATCAATGAAAATAATATGCTAAAATTGTGTATTTTCATTAAGCTGAACAAATGATATTGTCTTGGGTCAGGTTACTTTTAGTCAGAAGCAGTAAAGGAGTCATTTCCGACCCTATAAATTGCATATACATATTTTCTATCAGCATCAACAAACTAGTCGATCTCAAGATTAAAAAAATATATACCAAGTTTTTAATTCTTTTAAAATTTAATGTATAGTATGCAGATTTATTTACCTAATCAAAACTAACACAGCATATCTTTCGATCGATCGATTCTCGATTCGATCCTAGGATTCAATTGTAAACTGCAAGGGTATATAAACTTTGGCTTACTGATCAAAATTCGTTGACTCCACTTTTTATAGTTTCCAAAAAATCCTAACGATTCGACTCTTGACGCTGCTGTTGGTCATATGATATGTGGTCCTTATGTTGATAAGATCGTATAATATTATAACCTTAATTTTAGATTTACTTACATTGTCTAAAATTATATTTACCTTCTGAGGAAATATATCAAATGAAATTTTGGAATATTTTTAAATTGCAAAAAGGGGACTAGTCCATCGAAAAAACTTACTCTTAAGTTCTACACAAGAAAAGATATTTAAGCTTTTCATATTATAAACCACCAATTCGTAGATGTTAAATCATTATTATATGTATATCTTTTTATTTTTCAACATTAAATAGAGATTTCAGTATATCAACATCAATATATGTATATACAATTCAATGAATGCAATAAATATTTATGTATATGTATAGGTGTGTGTAACACTATCTAAAATAAATGTTCATTTACGAGTCATGTGAGAGCCTGAGTTTTTCCTTTAACAATGAGTAGTTTCGTCTGAGTTTCAAAGTATGTAATATTCACTAATTTTATAGTTATAATAATTGTGCTCGTTTGTCGATTGGCACTCACTTGGGCTGCATTAATACATCATTAACTTAAGTATCCAATAAAGCATTTTTCTTTAAAAATTTCAATAAAAAAGGATAACCTAGATGAAGGATACGTTGCTTTCATAAAAAAGTGTGTGACACAAGTAAAGCTAAAAACCAAATTGCAAAACAATTGCAATAAATCAATTTCCATAAATGAATCATAACTAAGGGCTAATTAAGTGACTGAAGGAACATCCGTAACACAATGAATCACTTTGAGAACGAGCTTAAAACTAAAAGATTTATGTATCCATGGTCAGTGAGCATTTTGTGTCCTAACAATCTGCACCGGAGATTCCAGTTATTGGATTCTCGCCGTGAATAATCGCATCCATTTCAATTTGTGTGAGATTCTCAGTAAGCAGCTTTTCAATATTAATAAACTTGGCATTTGGCTCCTGAATTGAGGCAGCATCCAAGTCCTGGTCCACAGGAGTCTGAAGCACCGAACTGCTGCGCTTGGCACGCTCTATAGATGTTAATTATTACAATTATTATCAAATAAATTAATTAATTTATAAGTACGTACCGAAACGAGCTCGATGTGCCTCCTGCTCGATGATAATTTCATTCGTAACATAGACTTCTCGTCGAATTTGATCCCGCAGCTCCACACTCATGTCTGGGATGCACCAACGCACTAGAATCATCACCAGCGCCACAAAGTTCTGCAAGCAAAGAAATCAATGATATTTCTGCACCTTATTTCATCAGCACTTTTGCCCCTGATTTGTAATATTTCTTCAAGCTAATTTGGGGTCAGCAAAAGAGAAGCCTTGGAAATGCCAAACTTTCCAGCCAAGTTGCAGTAAATGCGATTGGCTAAATGCAGCTAAGACAAAGCGTTAGCCTCAACCCTAATATTCAGGGAATTGGGTACGAGCTCTCTCACGCCGCACTATTCGGAAGAAGAAACCCCATAGAACCAAAAAACCGGCACACCAAACACACCTTCAAGCCAACATGCAACATTATGTACTTCGGACTTTGGCTCTTTGCAACATAAGATACGGCCAGAGAATAGCGATAAAGTGCAAGTAAAATGAAATAGAATAAAATGTCAGCTAAATGGATAATTGGCCCTAGTTCTACTTAGAGTCTGACATTTGGTCAGTAGCTGTGAACAGCCAGAGGCGAGCGGACGCGATTTCCAAATAAAAAAAAAGGATAACAAAAAACTAAAAACTACAAAACAAGCGATACCAAAAGCGAATCAGCTATTAGTTACAAGAAACAACAAATTCGGGATTTACTTAACATATCCTTAAAGCGTTCAAAATGAAGAACTTTGAATTCTTAAGCCTGTCCTCGGTGGGCATGAGCATAGCCTGTATGGAAGTTCTGATAGCTCTCAGTGTCCTGGCACCTTCAAGCTATTACCTGTACTTTGATTTCGTGGACATTGAAAAATGGGAGCATTCTGACGAAGTAGAGGCTTTAACGCCATTCGGAACCTTCTTTTCCACCTTGGGTAAATTATATCAATTTTAAATACTTTAAAATATGTTTTGAATATGAATTTCAGTGGATTATCTGTGGGTGCGAGAGTTCTCGCAAGTATTCTACATGACAGCAACTCTTATAATTTGGGTGAAGGCATTGATAAATCTAATGGTGGCCTGCCTTCTAGTCGATGGCATCAAGCAGGTGAGGCTTTTCTTTATAAATATATTAAGAAAATCCTTAATTATAATGATACCAATTATGATCTTAGAAACGACTTGTATGCATTGCCCCCTGGTTGATCAATGCATGCCTTTCAATGGTCGTTGAGACGGGCATTTTTGTGAGTCTGGAGCTACGAATTGACGAAATTGATGCTGCCGTGGATCGTAGAATAGCAAGAAGTTTGATTTTTGGTATCTTTATAGGTAAGTTTGTATATACATAAGTATTACAAAAATAAGTTCATGGTTTTTATTTACTTTCCAGTGTTAAATGCACTATTTTGTTATGGTATCTATGCTCTGTATCGGAAGCTAAAGAAGTCATCGCCCAGTGAAAATCTCGAAGTTATTCCCCAGAGCCCACACACATTCAATGCCTGAACTGATTTGGATTCTTGGTATATCCTTAAATCTTAAACTAAATGTCATGTCTCACACTTCAATGTTTTGGAATAGGTAAATAAAATGATATAAATACTAAATTTAATTGAAGTCACTTACCTCGAAGACCACCACAAAACCCAAACGGCAGGCCAATATAATGTAGAACATGCTGCTCAAATTGTATTTTTCCGGTGATGAGGGTGGCAATCGAAAGTCAGTGTATCTGGAGAGTTAACAAGATATAAATCATATAAATATTATTAATTAATTATATTTACTACCTGCATGTGGTAATGTTACTGAGATCGCCAGCTAAGCTGTTCAAGGTGGGTGAATCAGAGACTTTAAACTCGGACAGAGTAAAATCCAAATAGCCATTCAGAGTGCCATCCTTAGAAATGTAATTGCGATACACCAAACGTGGGATCATGTCCGAAGTGAAGGCTATAATAAAACCCTACAAAAAATATATAAACTTTTAATAAATCTCTAAGATACCTATAAGATGATCTTACATTTGTGATAACGCTTAGCTTTCCTATGCAATCCAATATCCTGTACCACACGCCAATATCCCGAACTCTCTGCGACACAGGACGTTTGTGGTGGGTTAGCAATTTCTTGGCATCCAGTCGCATCTCCAGGATATTATTCAACAGGGCAAAGAACGGCGCCAGCGGAAAAGCAGCCACAAAAATGGTCACAAATCCATACTGCAAGACCATCTCCAGGTACTCGGGAAACAGACCACGAGCACCCCAATCCAATAGCTTGAAATCGCGCATCCAGCGTTCGTCTTTCGTCTTATCGGGATTCGGGGTATTGTTAAATAGACGCGATAGACCCACTTGAATGGCCAAAACCTTACGCCAAAACATGGGCAGATAAACCTCTAAGATGGTGTTAAAAGCCTGCTTGCCCACCATTATAATGGCCAGTTGGATGCACAGCTCGGTGAGGCAGCCGCCAGAAGAGCACTGTTGGAATAAATGATTAAGTATTAAATATATATAATTTATATTTATTATTCAGACTCACTTCCTCCTGGCGATAGTCAAACAGTTTATTATACTGCCCAGGATGTCCAACAAATTTCCCCTTGAAAAAGGCTATGTAGAAGATGGAAGCATAATAGTTGACAAACTGTAGCAGGTAAATTTTGAGGGTAAGCGAGTCATCGAACTGCGTTTGAGTGCGCCACATTTCCAGCTCCGTTAGATATTCAGCCAAATGATTGTACATCTACAAAAATAGATAATCTTAATCAATATAAAAATAAATAACATGCAAACAAAACCTTACATAATTAAGTATGTAGAGCAGGCACAAATTCACAAAAGCCGCCGATGCGGTGGCCAAAACAATGGCACTCGAGGTGGTCATGGGACTGGCCCCAACTTTCAGAGCCGCCAGCATGGACATGCGGTAAACCACCACAGCCAGCAGAGCCACAAAAGCCAAGGCAATTAGCAAAAGCACCACAGAAAAGCTAAAAACTGTAGCCGGTAGCTTCATGCGCCAGAAAGGAACCGTTGGCTCCTTAATGTTCGTCACATAGTCCACTCTAGTCGGCGGTATGTGCTCCAAGCGGGCCAAATACTGCGGCCTCGGGTGCTCCTCATGCACATCGAAGCCTGTGAGATCCCAGCGATGTGTGATCTCAGCTGAATAACGCTTCCACAGCTCCAGGAACAGGGTGGCCCAAAAGGACATGAATACCGCAAAAAACACGGTGCTGGGATTGTCGATGAGGTATGTGACTTTGGCATAGTTACAGGTCTCTTTCAGGTCCCAGAAGTTGCACCAATCACAAAGCGGGCACATAGTAATATTTGTATTGCTACGAAGACAGATATCTTTTCTATGAAGATAAAAAACAGGGTATTGTAAGTACTGAATAAACACTTTAAAATAGTTCCCAGAAACTCACACAGGCACATAGTTCTTAAGGGAGAACCAGGAGTATAAAAAGCAAATTACACCCACTATTGAAGCCAGCAGCAACATGTAAGTATAGTAACCCAACCAAGCGAAGTACAGACCTGAAAAAGTTCAAGAGTTATCATATATTGTCCTTGTTTTAATAAAATAACTTATTTTCTTACCAATTTTGACGCCAAAGTATTCTTTGATGTCATCCAAAGGCTGATACCGATACCATTTGTGCACGCAGGCCCAATGTTTGTAAAGCAGAGCTCTCATGGTACCTGTCTCTGTAATTTCGCCCTGCAAATGACACAAATTAAAGTTTTAATTATTATGTATATAATGTATATTAAATATATATATTTTGCACTCACATCATGCAAAGGATATGCAGCACAATAGACACCCTCGGCTATTAGCCGCTCTATGCCAAAGGCCATGTCATGCTGATTCTTGGCAGGAAATCGTTGACGGTCCAGGATAAACTCTACAATGCGAGAGCGAACGGCAGTGGTAAAGAAGCAGTCCTGCCGGATGTCGAAGCTTTTGGGAAATATAAAAAATATATTAGTACAACTTTTTATTAACAATTCCCACTTGGACTCACAGATATTCCTTGTCGCGACTGTAAATGGCGGTGAAGCGATGGGCTCTCTTGGGGAAAACATTCTCATCCACATAGATGTGACGCAGGAAGAATTGGCAAACGGTTTTGAGACTAGAAAATATGCTTTTCGTTGAGCGATTGACCACGGACATGCCTGGAATCTGAAAGAATTGAAAGTTTAAAATATAATACAGATTGCAAATATTTAAATATATATTAAGATAAGGCTTTGCTTTTGTATGCGATCCTGGTTAGGCTTGGGATTAAGTAAGTTTAGGGTTTAGACAACTCACTGTAGCAGTAGCTAAACGTTCAATTAATTATAATTAACAAGTTAAAAGGATTAATGGTAAAATATTTAACTGATTCAACGCTTTGGCCAACCTTCTTGGACAGGTATTGAGCCGCATTTTGTAGACGATTCGATCTTTCAAAAATGCGCAAATTGCACAATGACTATAATCATATAAAACATAAAATAATTAAATAAGTAAATGGGAATACAAATCAATCATAAAGAAAATGAAACAGCCAAAAACTTATATTTTCTTGGTTTTTATACAGGGCCCAAAAGTATGCTTTAATTTGGATTTGAAATGATATAAAAGCCATATAATTCATTAAAGACTCACCTCCTTCATGGGCATACGCAGCTTAAGTATCTCTGCATAGCGGCGTAGAACCTCCAAAGGAGCATGGATCTATAAATGATTAAGATACATTATTAAACATCATCTTTATAGATTTATCTTCAAGTTCCCTCTCACCTTTACAAAGCAGATTTGATCCTTCTGGCTGGCCTCCACCTCCAGACCCTGGTTTGCAAGATTCGCCTCGAACACTCGCCTCTTCTCCGTGTTCTCCGTTTCCGTAGGTTCATGGGGATTAATCCTGTAGGCCAGCACAAAATCAATGGATCGTATGCAATCCTCAAAGAACAGCGAGGCATTGATTTCTCCCCGCTGATAGAATTCCCTGGGGCAGCTGCACTCGCGATCATCGTAGGGGCCGCCGCTTCCATTGCCCTTCACCGAGCCCGGCTCAGTCATTGGCAGGAGAGGAGTGGAGAGATTCGATGGGTTGGTCCTGTTCCCAGTGGGCTTCTTGCCATTGGCCTGGGGCCCGGCACCGTCTGGCAGTTGTAGGGTTGAGGCGTTGCTAAAGAAATTTAAAGTGATTGAGTAATATTAATCTTTCTTGAGTTTGATTAATATAATGAATTGAAGTGTAACTGCAGCTCTTCAGAATTTTAGCATTAAAAAACCTACACTACCTGTTAATATTAAACACCTTAAAATATATATTATATTTGTATATATATCCATAATCCTAAAGAATAAATGTCACATTTTCTTAGTAAACTTCGTGTTCCTTGGGATCTGAGCCAAGTTTAATGGGCAACCCGGGAATGCTTTCAGCCTCTAATGTTTATGTGAAACAATTTGAAGGCCGTTAACAGGAGTCAGCCTTGTTTAATTTCCCGGGTGGCGACTCCTGGCGTGCGGAAAACTCTTAAGGGCAAAACGACCCCGTAACATATTTAGGTCACCTCAGGGGGGAGAGCTAAAGCTGGTGAAATTTGATGAGCTAAATCATTTAATTAAACAATTATCCAAAGGGAAGCGCTCAATATGACCTCAGTCAATGTTTACTCTATTATCTCAGCATATGTTTTGACCTATTAAAAAGAGTACAGTAGTTCACTTTGAGTTGATAATGAGCTATAAACCGAAACAAAATCAATACACTTTATTACATACAAACATTTGCTATTTGTCAGCTAAAATAAACAGCTTCATGTGATTCGATTTCTGGTTGAGCTTGCTGGATGAGACATTTCTAATGATTCATAGAAGATTTCTGATTTAAAATTGTCGAGAAGCTCAAGGGATTTATGAATAAATGTCAGTAGAAAGTTTAAATTCTGAAAATCAATTAAGTAACTACGAATTAATGTAAGTACTTTCCGCTTTAATAATTCTGATTTTATTGTATTGCTGATAAGCAATGAAGCAATCTGTCTGGTCTGACTTTAAATAAATGTAAAAATAATGGCTTATGCCTTATCTTGAATTCAGCATTACACTTGTATAATACAGCTTTAATCTCAATCAATTTAAGAATGTTGTGTATTCTTATACAACAATGAGCGGAACTCTAATTAAGGTCAGTACTTATTTATATGTTTCTTTAAAAAGTAGTAAGAATTTAATTTCATTTCAGCCTTTTTAATGATTGTTATTAATCATAATAATCTCACAAAAAAATCAAATATTGATTGGTGGTTTTGTAACAACAAAATCCGAGAACTTTAACTAATTTCCCTTCCCTTCTTTCATAAATCTAACCCGCTCTTGGCATTTATTATTGTTTCGTTCTCTTTTGTTTATTGTTCGTCTGAGCTTTTTTTAGTTCATCGGGCAGATTTTCAAATTTTTCGGCCTTCACGAGTCATAATTATCTCCAACTTCTTTGAAAAAAAAATATAATGCTAAAATTTACATACAAAACACTTTTATGAAGACTAATCTTTTTCTAGGCCCACACATTGGCCTTTAATTTAATCAAGGTCACGAGAGTGTGAGAGAAATTAATTTAATAAACATGTGTGGGGTTTGATTTTATTCGAATATTTTTTTGCATCAGCGAAAGGTGGCAAAAATATATAGCTTATATAATTTAGATGCTCACTCATATCGGAATTACTACATATGTATATGCTTTAAAGGCTTATTCATCCGGCAAGATCGTAATACTCAAAGTACACAAAAAACGACACAGCCACGAATAAACAAAAATATTGTCTTTGGGTCTTCTGCCGAAACGAATGATTAATACTTGTTAAGGGAACTTGATACACACGGAAACAATAACCTGTTTTCTTAAAGGGCAATCCGGATTTTAATTCGATAGTTAAGTTCACGACCTACCAATAGATTGTATCACATGTGTCGCGGAAAAGTCTTGCGAGAAATTTTCACCTCTAGTCTGCGCAAATATTTATTAAACAATAAACTTAAAGTCCACGAGCGTTGGCAATGGCAACCCAGCAAGCTCATAAGCTGACGAGCAGAGCGCCACAAGTGCGCCAAAGAGCGAGGCCACAAGCGAAGAGAGTAAAGAGCGCGATTATACGCCGGTTGGAGGCAGCAATCAGCTGTTTTGAAAGAGACCAAAGAGCTTTGAGCACATGCTGATCTCTCAAGTGTCAAGAGAGATGCAAAAAGTAAATAAAAGATTATTTCTGAGTTTTTATTTAGAAAAAGAGTCAATAATTGTTTGCTATTGCTCACACATATGACAGATAATTATCTCAATGGATATTTACTGTAGGTTTCAGCTAATGTAATCAGTAAATGGGGAAGTACTCTGGCTTAAATGAGTCAACACAGTGATAAGCATATTTTCCTTAGAAATATAATATAAATATGCAAATTATCAAAAGAAATATACATGTTATATAGAAATAAATAAAAGGAAATGTAATTTTTTCAGCTGTTTTTAACTTTTTACATTTGTAATAGATGGTATCTTTTAGATACTATACAGAGGGACCTACGAAATGGAGCACTCTAAATTTTTAGTTTCCTTTGTGCTACAAATAGTGTAATATAATCTTTCAGAACACCCTATATTCCGAACGAAGAAAACTCAATTACAGAAATATGACAACAAAAAGCAGTCCAACCACTGACAGCGGCTTTAATTATCTTTAATGGGCACTTCCTCGGCCTAAAAAAACGGTCTGATTGGACTTTCCCCTCTCTTCGTGCTTACCTTTCCGCAAACCTGGCTCTCTTATCAGCGGTACTGAGTGATTCACGCGATGCTGATATTCTCTCTTGATCCACGAACCGCTGCGTTTCCTTTCCCCCCAGATGCTCTCCTTTGGCGCTAGCCGTTCGTGGAGCCCGGAACGCTTCATCAGCTCCATATCGAAGGGCGCCAGGGGAGTGGAGAAGGGGGGCTCTAGCGGGACGGCGGGGGAACCCCGTTCCAGCAGCTGGAAGCTTTCATAGTTCGTAGAAAGCTGAGGGGACTCCTCCAGGGCGGCCACTTTGGCACTGCCTAAATTTAGCATTTTGCTAATGTGCGTGTATTAAATTTAGCTAAAATCACTGTCCCTCTCCCTCGTCGTTCTCCACCTTCTGATTGGCTTTCACAAGACATCCAACAGATGCGCGCGCGTTGTGGTGCTAGTTGCCAAAATTGGCTGCGAGGCCAGCAATGAAAAACTTTGCACCATTTAGTTGCATTTTTCTAAACTATAATCTAATATCACATTTAATTAATTATTGCACTAGTTTTGTTTAACACCGGATTCCCGTTGCGTCGATTTAACGGAACGATGAAAGTACTACTATTTTTCTCTTAATTTTCAGCTGTTTTTGTGTTAACGGATAATCGATAAGCATGTGGTAACCGATAAACACACTCGATTTCGAGACTATTCGGAGTCACTCGATTGCAGTAGTCGATTCTTTTCGTGTGTTATTTTTAAAATTAATTCCATTTTTATTTATGTTCAGTTATTATTATTACAAATTATTAAATTCCAATGCTTAATATTTGGTTTTAAAAGAAAATTTGAGATTATAATTGCCTCAGTTTTGTTGAACAGACGTTTTTGAACGCTGAAATTATTTTACAACTGTAATAATGCAAAAAAAAAAATGCTTCACGGAACATTGTATAAATACATCTTTTTTTAAGAATTTAAGTCTTGTTGTGCAATAAAGTATCAAATATATGGTATATATACTTTCTATAGAATTTACTTAAACAAATTGTTGATAACATAAAAGATATCTATATTAAAATGGATAGATCTAAGAGTGTGAGTATAAGTTATATACCCTTTAATTGTAAATAGTAAAGAAAAATATATATTTCCCTTATTTCGCATGTACATACATATGTACATGTCTCAAAAATCTCAAACTGTGCACTATGTGAAATATTTAAATCTGAATGCGGGTTTTATGCGGTTAATGCATATATGTAGTGCAAACTATATAAAATTAAGAAACATATGCAAATTACAACAATTATAACTTAATTTCACTGAAAGATTAAATTGCAAAAATCCGGACTGTGCTTATCACTGTGTACCAACCCGGTATCAGAAAAAGAAACTCAAATCAATCAAAACACATGACTTCTCAGATAAAACAACAACGTGTATTGGGGAAAACACAAAAACAGAAATAATACAATCCCAAATTGGGATGAAGGGGAGACAAACTCTGCTATTCTCGCTATTTTTATATGGAACAACAACGCATTTTCACTTTAATGTATGGAATAATAATACAGCAGTGTTTCAGTAAAGTAACCACTATTATTACGGGGCTAAATTATGCATGGACATCGAATTTGGAGGGCACACTCTCGACGCCACTGCCTCTCTACTTGTGATTGTAATTCTTGTGGACCTCGGGCGAGATGTTGTACACGTACTGCAGGATCTCCTGGATCACGGGTTCCTTGCGGGTCTGGATGGCCCGCTCCATGTCTGCCAGCTTCACGCGGGTGTCCGCATCGATCTTGGCTGCCACCCCCTCGCGGCTTCCCATATGCTGCAGGGGATTACACAAAAAAGTTAGCTCACAGGTTACACACATATTAAGCGGTTGTTTGAACTCACCTTGGCCTCGAATTCCTTGAAGGCGCGCTCGCGCTCCTGACGGAACTTCTCGATCTCCTCGGTGGCCTCATCCTTGGCCTGCTTCAATCTCCTTGCCTTGCCTGCGGGAGCACCCCGGAAAAAGCAAAGGAGAAAAATCAGTACAACTCTGGAGCCCCTACAATATTTACTCTTTTCCACCACATCATGTGACCCAACACACAACGGTCATTTGAGGGGGTGTGGTGAGGTGCAAAAACAGTTGGTATTCTGCTTCGCCCATATATTCCAATTGGAGTGATAATATTTTCTGGTTACTTACGTTTACGGGCCTCGGCGACCTTCTCGGCGGCCTTCTTCTCAGCAGCGAGCAACTGCTGGATTCCCTGCGTTTGGCTGGCCATTATTGTCTAACTTTTACTTCCCGTGGTGTACAGTGCAAGTCGAAAAAAGCAAGTGACGACGAATTAATTCCAGCTACGAACTGTGAAAATTGTCATATGACGAGGCACACACACGCAAACTCACCACGGATCTCTGTTGGTGTGCGTTCCAATGCTGGCACACAAGCTTCTTTCTAGCTAGATGTAGCATAATTAAAAATGTCACATCTTAATTTGTTAAATTAAGCTTATTATAAAATGTATTTAGCATTTATAAAGAATTATTTTGTATGTACGTATTTTCGTCACCAATTAAATATTTCATACGACAAAAACGTCTCACAGCAAAAAAAAACAAAAAATAAGTTATTGCAGCCTTTAAATGTCCTATTTCCATTAAAGGTGTATTTTCCAATGAAACATTGATACTTAATATATTAGTTTGTAAATTCCTTATATTTATAAATGAATCTATTATAATAATAATGAATTATAATAATAAATGAATATTTAGCCGTATAGGAAATGACCCAAAAGTCACCGGATAATTTTCAACCAAAACATAGTCGCATTAAATGGATATTTATTTTCTGTTTTTATATATAATTTTTAAACTATTCTTATTCTTCTTTTTTAGTCAAACATTCCAAAACGTTGAATTAAACGAACTTGGTTTCGCTAAATGACTGAAAATATTGAATATAGATGCTTTGTACAAAGTCTGCAGTTTTTGTGAATTTTATGTAAAATTATAGTATATTTTAATTAACTTTGTTCGATTAGTCCAGAGAAGTGATATAATAAACACTATTGATATTCTAGAACATTTTAGTAATTTATATTATATAATTTATACATCTGTTATATATGACAAAAACATGGGTTTATCTGGGATATTAAAATTAAATGCTTAATTTGACATTTGCAATTGGTAGTTGTTTTAAAATGAAAAACATATAATTTTTAAATCAATTTTTATAACGACAAAGCTATCGTTTTTTTTTTTTTTAGACGATAGTTCCTTTACAAGTGTAGTAAAATGTATACTTTTTAGAGTGAGTTCTGTAAGTCTGATGGTTTCTTATCATATCAATAAAAAAGTTGATGTGGCTTTAGAAAGCTGTGCAAATGGTTATTAGAAGATCTATGTATTTTAAATGTAACAAAATTTTCCCATAGTTAAATAAATAATATGGAAATGGGGAAAGGTTACTAAGCTTAAAACTCACCACGGTGCAAAAAATAGTTCGATTCTTGAAAAAGTAGCTAGCTGGTTACTCAGTATATTTTTGGTATATTTAAATAATTATATTTTTGAGCAGGCCAGTATAATTTATTAATGATTTTGCGGTCACACTGGGCGACGCACATTACAAACATTATTCAGGTTTTTGTAGGGAAAAATATATAGAATTACTCCAAATTTAGCTGTGCAAAGTATTTAGAGAGCCCACCGAAGATGTCCTTCTCGTTTCAACCCACAAACACCGGGATAGGTGGCGCCGCAGCTGCACCCGGTGCTCTTGGTTTTGGCGCGCGTCCGGCGACAACGACGGCTCCTCCTCCAGCCTTCGGAACAGCCACTGCCACCACAGCGTTTGGCGCAGCACCGGCAGCTACACCGGCTTTTGGAGCGGCAACAGCAGCCACTCCAGCCTTCGGAGCAGCTCCGGCTGCGACTCCTGCGTTTGGAGCAGCCCCAGCAGCCACGCCTGCCTTTGGAGCGGCACCGACAGCCACTCCGGCTTTTGGGGCAGCAACAGGTACCACTAGCGCCTTCGGAGCAGCTCCTGCTGCCACCACGGGCTTTGGTGCAGCGGCCACGCAAGCGCCTACCTTTGGAGCCGCTGCACCTGCTGTAGGCACCGTTGCACCCACGTTCTCCTTCGCAACGCCGGCAACTACTGCACCCACTACGGCTCCGCCGGCTTTTGGATTTGGGACAACTACCACAACTGCTGCCGCTGGTATTGGAACCTTTGCCTTTGCCAAGCCCCAAGCCACAACGGCAGCCAGTCTGAACTTCAACACCACCACGACGACGGCAACAGCGCAGCCCTTTAATACAGGATTAAAATTGGGAACGACCACCGCCACAACGTCGCTGGGAGGCGGCGGAATCTTTGGAAAGCCCGCCGGGCAGGCAACTGCCGCTGCACCCTCAACATTTGTGGGACTGGGCGGCATTGATGTAAGTGCAACGCAGCCCAAGTTGGGCGATAATAAACAGGATGGTATCAAGGTGAGGGTGAAATTAAGCAGCTCGTAGATTCTCAACTAATATGCTGACATGCCTTTCAGATCAGGGAGACTCAAGTGCCTGACGAGATTGTGAAAACCGTGGATGCCCTGAAGGTGTACATTAAGCAGCAGAAGACAACCTCCTCGGATATTAGCCGGACTTCCACCTCCAAGTTCAGCAACGTTAGCCACGAAATCAACAACTTGAAGTGGGCTCTGCGGGATATGTCTAATTCGGTGGAGACCAACAATCAGCAGATTCGGCTGTTGCGCCAGGAAACATCCAAGGCCATTCAGTCGCTGGAGATGGCCCAGCGTACGCAGGACACGCCCGCTGGTCTTCAGTTCGAGCACAGTGCTCCGTTCCAGTACTTCCAGTGCCTCGTGGCAAAATACGAACAAGATTTGATAGCGTTGCGCCAGAAAATTGCTCATACCGAGAGCCTCATGCACGCCCTCTCCAACCCCCAGAGCATTTCTCCAACGGATATGATGCGCTGCTTCCGCCAGCTAAGCGAGAGCTTCATGTCGTTGGCCGGACGTCTGCAGGAGGTGCACCAGCGTGTGGAGGAACAGAAGGAACACTACCTTAACCTGCGTCGCTACCGATTGAGGGACGCCACAAATGTCTTTGAACGGATCGACAATCCTCCACTGCCATTGGTGGAGCCCCAGAGGATTAGCAGTGGCCCGACGCCTTTCTCCAATATCACGGCCATCAGCAGCCTGAATAAATCTTATACGTCGGCGGCGGCGGCAAATTCCGCCAGCAATGCGGCAGCCAAGTAAGATTGAATTGTTAGCATGTTTCAAATAAATCGTTATGTACCAGAGAGAGAGAGACTGTCTCCGGCTCGGCCTTTTAAGTATATAGCATAGAATATATTTCAGTTGCAACAATATTCACTTCTTGACCACCTGTATGACATCCTCGTCGGCCATTACATGGGCGATTCCGACGCGCTGTGGCGAGTACTTTGTGGAGGTGCCCCACACCAGGGCGTACTTAAACTGGGCAGCCAGTGTACGATGAATGGCATGGCACACGTGCTCCACACTGACACCCTGTGGGAAGAGAAGAAAGTTAGGACAGGAGTCTAGAGAGGATCCATCAAACATGCAGGAATATAAACACAACTTGCCTTCCTAAGAATCAGACCATCGTCAAAGTCTGGCGGTGCTCCGGGCTTCTTTGTGTATACCCTAATTAGCTGCAGCGCCTCCCAGAGGGCCTCCAGCATGTAGTCCAGATTAAGCTTCATGTTGCAGCTGACGACAATGGAGTTGGGCTGACGCGCCAGGCGGTCCACCTCCTCAATGGAGATCTGATCGATCTTGTTGTAAACATACAAACAGGGCAGATACACACGATTCGCGGTGACAACATCGATGAACTCGTCCTCGGTGCAGTCCTCACGGAAGAGAACCTCGGCATTAAAGATTTTGAAGGAGTGCAGGATGGTCTGGACCATTTTCTCGTTACACCGCGATAGCGAACAGGTGGCATTGAAACTCAGGCCACCGCCCTTCTTCTGCTTGAAGTAGATGTTGGGCTTGCGCTTGTTTAACCGAATGCCCACGGACTCCAGCTCGCGTTCGAGCAGCTCCCGATGGACATTTGGCTTGGTAGCATCCAGCATCATGAGCACCAAATCGGCGGTACGGGCCACAGCGATAACCTGGCGACCACGCCCCTTGCCCTGGGCAGCACCCTCGATGATACCCGGCAGATCCAGCAGCTGTATATTGGCACCTTGGTACTCGATCACACCCGGAATGCAGGTCAAGGTGGTGAACTCATAGTTCGCTATGGATTTCCACAAATGGAAAAGGGAATTAGGGGGTCTTGAGGGGTGTGGCTCTCTGGCTACTGCTTACCCGCCTCCGATTCCGTCTTTGTCAGGGTGGACAGCATTGTGGACTTGCCCACCGAGGGAAAACCGATCAGCGCCACCCGCGCATCGCCGCTCTTCAGCACATCGAATCCCTCACCCTTCTCGCCCTTTTTCGAGGGTTCCAGCAACTGGGAGCGGTACTTGGCCAACTTCGCCTTCAGCAGACCCAAATGGTACTCGGTGGCTAGGAAAGAGGAGTAAACACACTCGGATTTAGAGACGCTGAGCAAATCCTAACCTAAATTCCGATGGCCAGCGCGGCGGATTTCGAAGGTGGCCTCTCTCATCCGCCTTTTTTGCCGGTTAATTACACAAAACTCACGCTAACCTTTGTTCTTCTGGGTTCGCGCAATTTCGCGCTCGATCTCGGCTATCTTTTCCAGGATTCCCATTCTGCTGGTGCTGTGATTAAAGGCCGGGCATGTGAAAATAAAAAAACACCAAGTTTTGCTTTTATTATTGAGCAGCGGGCCCCAGGGATGTAAAGCTTTGTGCGTCTCTGAGAGTTTTAGCTTCCAGCCCTGAACAGCTGATAGTACCAAGTGTCAAGATAACGTTCCTAGTTGGACTTTCTATTTCCAATTTGAATTTGTTGTTTGTGTTTAAGAAATTTAATTTAATTTATTTATTTAATTTAAATTTCAGTAAATTTGTTTATATGTATTTACATAGAAAAAAGAGTTTAAAACGAAGTTGGTCAATAACGTGGAAAACATTTAGTCTTTTAAATTTTACTTTTTTATGATTTATTATTATAAAATATTTTCAATAACATAAAATCATTTTATATATTTTTGTTGTTTTTATTTTGTTTTATTAATTTTTGTTTATTGTTACTTTTAGAGCAATCGTAGCCAGTATTTGTTACCAATTATGGAAAAATATAAACAAATATTAACGAAATTAAATAAATTGGCATCCCCTTCTTGGTTATCCAGATGTATTCCATTGAACAGGTGATATTTTTGGGGTCGATCACTATCACTACCACTTTCACTATAGATGTGAACAGTAAGAAGGCCTCGGACTGACTGAGGTCAGAGCGACAGCAGTGCTTGTATTTATAGTCCCCGAGTTAAGAGAACAGAGAAAGTGAGATAGAGAACAGATTTTTTAGAGATAGGTAGAGAGAGACAGAGGAATCAAGCGAGAGTAAAAGAGAGTCAGGGAGAGAGAAATTTATAGAAGAGCAATGCGAAAAAAGACTTATAGAGGAAGGCAGAGAAAGTGAGGGAGAGAAAGTTATTCTCTGCCATTACAATGTTATGTTATTACAGGAACGGAAATTAACAGCGGGACGCCATGCAAACTAACATTTAAAATAACATAACATAACATGGAGTGATATCATATCCGGTTTGAATTTAAAATTGGGCGGGAAACTGTCTGGTTGATAGCTGATAATAAGAAAATTTTGTTATAAAGTTATAGGTATGATTGTAAAGCCTTTAAGGAAACGAATCCCGCAGTCCAAATATTATTTAATAATAATTATTTGCTAACTAAAACCTAGATTTCCTAGATCTTCAAATCTTATAAACGGCTAACACTTTCAATTGGATTATTTTTATTTGTCAAAAGAACTCGTAAAATATACACAAATACACGCAGGTAAATACTGTTACGATTACAAGAAACCCCACAACACGCAAATGACAATAAATTACAATAGTGACTGTTGACTTGACAGAGACATCGAGAGAAAGAGATAGCGCGGCCGGCAAGGATGAGCTTTCCAGCATTGGTGGCCAAAAGGGCCAAGTCCTCCGCTGCGAAATCCCTCCCACCGGCAGCGATTTTAGCAATTAGTTGTTGGCATAGAAGCCATGTCCCGAGTTCCCCATGAACTCCCTCCAGCGCTGCCCCTCCAGCGGATCCAGTTCCGAGCAGACCTCACCTGGTCTCAGGGTTCGACAGGTGCACGTGATCCCGATGCGGGTCACCACCAGCTGTGACTCGAACTTTGGCAGAGCCGGTTCGGCGTCCACCAGTCGCTCGTTGAGGCACTGCTTAAGGAACTGTTTGCGCAATACGCGCAGGTTATCGATGGTGTAACCTGGAAGTAAGGAAGCTTACTCAGGAGTCTCTTGAAGCCTTTAAAATATAAACTCACTTTTATATGCGCTGATTTTCTCCTCCACACAGCTAAGATCCTGTGGCGAAAAGAGCGGCGGATAGGCCTCCGACTCTCGGATGTTGAGCACAAAAGCAAAGTCCAGCGAGGAGCTGGCATTACCAAGCGCCTTGAGCAGGACGCCGGTTGATGAGATGGAAGCCAAGTACCAATCTGGTCCGTTGGGATCATCGCCTCCTGTTGTTTCCTCTCCAGCTGAAGTGGTGGCACCGGAAACACTCTCTCCCTCACGTCGTCGCCGACGTAGTGTCATCTTACTTCTTTCCTCGGCAGTACCATCGGCGGCCTGCTCTCGTGCTTCATTATCTAGCTCCAGATCCCACAGGCTAAGCGGAGACTGAGCCACCAGGGGGATCCCTGTGGTGGTACTAGACCCTGTTTGGGCAGTGGTGCTGCTATCTTTATCAAGGTCATCACTGCGAACATCACGATTCCCGGAGCTGGGATATTTGGACCTCAGGCGGATGGGTCGATCGACCTGCTCCAGCAACGGCGGGACATCATCGTTGTACACTAGATCGTATTCCTCCTGGACGCGCAGTGGATTTGTACTCTCCGGCAGGGGATCATAATCCTTCTGTAGAGTGGGATAAGATTAGTTATATATAATCGGAATTAGGATAAGATTCTACTTACAAACTCCTTGTACGACTCCTTGGGATATCCCCCTGCCATGCCAAAACTGGGCAGCTCATTGTCTGCTCCCTGGGGCAAGAGCTCTTGCAGCTGTTGCTCCGTCAATGCATTATGTCTGTGGTGACCCTTTGTCCTTCTGCCCACTGGCTGCTCCGTTCCAGCTCCAATGCCAGATATCGCTGTTCCGGCTGCCACCTGGCGCAGTAGTTGCTCCCGATTTCCAGCCAGTAGCTTCTTCAGCAGCTTGGGATGCTTTAGAGGGGATTTCTTACCAGCTGGAGCTGGTCGTTGCGTGCGATTCAGCTGAACCTCCAGATCATCGGTGCTGAAGAGCACAGCACCTGGGGGTTCGATGTGTCTGGCAATCCCGTAGAGCTTCAGCACCGTGGACTCGTTGTAACGCAGGCGACAGGTATCCGCTCTGGCCTGCAGGATGATGTCGCTATCCGGCACGAATTCGTAGGCATCACGGGCTTCCGGACGATTCCGGCACTGCAGCTGCCAATGCAGGAAGAAGTCCCCGCCAAAGCTCTGGGAAATGGAGACTCCACCTAGAAGGCTGTTGGCACCACCTGCATCTGTCATCATGGCATTAAGTTGGGGCAATCCCGTCCGTCCATCCAGAATTGTGGTCTGTGAATAGTAGTAAACGGGAAAGCCTGGACCCGTGTTGTACTTCACCATGAAATCCGTCACATTGTCATGGTCAAAGTGTCCCGGCACAATGGCACTGACACATTCGCTGGCCGGAAATGTGTAATTCCACATCATCGTATAGTTGGCTCCATCGAAGGCGAGGACACTGCGGTTAAAGGCTGCCACCACCACATCCGAGATGCCATCGCCATTGAGATCGGTGAGCACGGCGGGTACCATGAGACCCGATCCCTGTTGCCGGTAGAGCGGCGTGAAATGCTTCTCACTCGTGTGAGCCATCAGGGAATGCAATCTCAGGGAGTAAATGCCACCCGGTGTATTCTGACCACCAGTGAGGATCAGCAAGAGCTCTGTGCCATCTGCCTCGGTGATGAGTTGAATTGGCACAAACATCTCCTCCCTGTAGGGCGTTGGTATGCTGCGGATAACCTTTCCAGTTTTACCAGAGATGAGCTTTATGTGACCCGCCTTGGACTCTTCCCGCTCCTCCAGATGAGCTGCTATAATTTCTGGCACTGAATCTCCATCCAGATCTCGCAGCTCGTTGATGGTGTACAAGTCCATCACAATCGGAGAGTTGGTCTCCACCTCCAGTTCATGGAAGCGCCAGATTATGGAGCCAGTGCGTCCATTGATGGCATAGATCATCTGCGGGGTGAAAAGAAAAGATTAGCAGGAGAGGATTGAGTTGTATAGAAGGATTAAACTCACCCCAAGTCTGCCGGCAGCCACACAGTCCGTGCCACCGTCTCCATCCACATCCGCGCTGCAGTGCAGCGAGAAGACATTGGCCACACTCCATGACTGCCACAAGATGGAACCATCGCGTCCATTCAAGGCCACCACTCCGCCCTCACAGGGCACCTCCTCGCCCTGTTGGGCAGACTGACAGCGTGGCAGGGGAATACCCTCGTAATGGATGTTATCATCCACTCCATAGCCAAAGACCACGTCCCTGATCCCATCTCCATTTAGATCAGCCGCACGCAGGGGACTTTCGCTATTCATCCGCGGCAGACTGCGGCTCCATCTCTTCTGGACACTGATCTGAGTGCATGGCACAAACTCACTGCCCAGGGAACTGCCATATCCAATGCGGGCAGAGTTAGAGGACATGGCCGCCAGCTGGGCAGGATCGGTGCGCCACCAGTGACGTATACGCTGGAGCGGCAGCGGGAAGAGCGTTAACATGAGAGCTGCCAGACTGAGCACGGCACAGAGGACCGTCAAGGCAGCCAGGGCATAACAGAAGGGTTCACAGCACCGACAACACCGACGTCTCCTGTGCTGCTTCATTATGGGAGCCGATCCTGATCCTGATCCATTTCCGGGTCCGCCAGAGCTGTGCTTCCGCCGCGGAGCCATTAAGGGTCGCTTAAGACCTTGCTCTTCGCTGCGCTGTAAGATGGAGATGAGATTGAGTTATTATTACTAATTAGTTATTTACAGAACCATAAATTTGGAAATTATATATTGGAAGTAATATGTAACTCAAAAAGAGTCCTGGTAGCGTATTTCAGTGTTTATCTTCTTCTTAAAGCTTTAACTAGCTTGAAATTCTGGTGTAAACACAGCTATTAGCTAATGTTAAGCTCAGATTTTATATTTTTAAGTGTATGTATTTTTAAAGATGTTTCTGTTTTCTCAGAAAACAGCACCCTAGATCCTGCTGTGAAAACATTCCTGACTTTGAACTATGATATTATTCCAGTTTCCTTTCTTTTTGTAAAACACACACCACTTTTTGCACTTGATTTAATTATCTATTTACACACAATGTTACTCCCTAAAGATGCAGCCAGGGGTGCTCCAGTCCTTATTTTACGTCTTAACTCTCCTTTTCCTTTCCAAAACTCTCCATAAACTCACCTTGGCTGACCTCGCATCCTTGATGAACACCTCGTCCTCGACATCATCGCTGGCATCCTCATCGATGGACGAGTCCCGTATGGCAATCCTCTTTGAGGGCACATATGGTCGCAGTTTGATCATTTTCTGTCCCAATGCCGCTGTTGCGGCTTCACCACCTAGCTGCACCTGCCGGAATGCCTTAGTTTTAGCCAATCAATGGATGTGTTGCAGATCCTTTAGAGCATCCTGCGACTCCTTTCCTCCTTGCAACTCCAATTGCAACGATGCGCGTCCGGCGATTGTAGAAAAATCAATAACGACGTCACGGTTTCACGCTCAGCTGTTTTCCGATTTCGGAGCATGCGCTCTGGAAGGGATTGTGGTGCCACCACCCAAACCACCACCCAGGGAAGCAGCCGCCACGTGTTGGCCAGCGGCTACAGGTTTGTTTGTCAACAATGTGGCGTCCCACCTGGGCAGCAGGCCACTCTTTGACTCTCTAGCTCTCTTTTTGCCACCCTGTGGCTGGGGTTTCTCTCTCCGGGGCATCTGTTGCTGGACAGACCCACCACCACCACCTTGCCTTTTCCCTTGCCATTCCTAATCCCACCCAGCTCCACCCTGGAGCAACTCTCCCGATTAGCTTCCCTCCCCCTCAGCAGCGGTTCAATGTCCTCGCTTTGAGAATTTCATGAATGAAGTAGGCGGGGCAGTGGAGTTGGGCATGTGGCATGTGGCATATGGGGATGTGGCAGGTTGGGGGACATGGCGGGCTTCATTCACCAAACTTCCGCATGCTGAGAATATGGGTCACATATTCTGTGTGCCGCAGTATGTGGTTTTTGCCCGCTCGCTGGAGTTAGCGATTAATACTTAATGAGATTTTGTCTGCCTTTCAACAGCAGGAAATGATACGGAAAAGATATGTCGGGACGATATAACGATCGATTAAGGTATTAGTATTAGTATTATTTTTATTTGGGTATTGCAAGTATTATAGATTTTTTATATATTATTATTTATTTATTTGTACAATATATATTTAGATAGAGATTAAGCTGCAGGATAAATATCAGCATAGTTTTATATATTATTTTAGTTTGCCTTTTAAATCTATTTCTGGCTTAGGGTTTGATTTGTGTACTTTAACTATGACTGCAATTATATTTGCAAAAGTTTAAGCTTAATATACAATATTTTCTACAAAATTATAGCTTTAATAAAGATAATGAGAGCCTTAAAATAGTTTCAAAACTTTATACTAATCTTTAATTATTGTCATCTGATTTAAGACATATAAAATCGAGATTCTACTAATAAGACAGAACAGCAAGTTTTAAACTTTTCAAGGAGTCTTATCAGTACTTATTTTATTACCAATTATATACAGAATTTTAGTTTGGAAACAAAAAGGTTATTTGCTATAACAATTTACTAACAAAATACACAAATTTTAAAAGAAACCCTACTTAAAATCTAATTAATATGAACACATTACCTCTATGAAAACAATAAAAGCTTCGTCGGGATCCAATTCCTTGTTTATTATCACAAAACTGACTCTCATCTTCAATGATCCTTGCTTTATATATCTCTCCATCGTGTACTAAATATATTCGGTGACCTTGTCGCTGCTTTATTTATCACCTTGCAATCCAAGAAAATGTATGTAGTTTCGCTTTCTGTATCTTCTTATTTTTTCCCTCAAAATGTATTTCACATAATTTTCTATGACGTAGCCGTACACGCTTGTCAAAAGCCAAACACAAGCTAAAAAGCTGCCCTGTTCGTTCGTTTTTTTTTTCACCCAAAAATACAAAAAATAAAAAATAAAAGTATTCAAATTGCAAGTGCGGCAAAAACCTTTTGCGAATTTGCTTTAGCCACAAACCATACCCGATGATGATGCTGTTGCTGCCCTCAGCAGAAACTTAAGAGCACCACTTAGAGAGGAGCAGTGGGTGGCGGTAGGAGGGACAGGAGCACTCAGGAGCACAGGTCCAAGCTCGACTGCATTCGAATAAACTATAGAAAAATCAGCGGCTTTTTATAGCTGCCCCATCAATAGATGCAACGGGGGGCAGAGAGAGAGAAAGGGGGAGAGAGGTTGGTGGCAACTTAAGTGTGCTATTATCGCATCAGAGATAATTTAATAACGACGACTAGTCGTCGTCGTCGTCGTCTTCTTCTTCATCTCGCTGCCTCGGAGGCCAGAAAAGGATGTGTTGTGAATCCTGTCGAGAGTGTTGCGGCAAGGCGTTGAGTAGTAGTGCTTGGTAGGGTCTATTTGGAAAGGGGTTCGAATAGAATAGAGTAGTCACCTTCTACTTCTACACACATGTGAGGCGGTGAGGTGTCAGCTGCCTGAAGGTCACCAGGAAACTCGTGAGAGGAAACTACATTTTTAAGTCATTATATTTGTTTTCAGAGGCTGTAGAGGGTTTTCTACGAGTATTTTTGGTTTTAAGATATATTTGTACTTTGAAAAGAAGATTATTCCAAAATATTTTAATTAATTAAAACAAGTAATTTAACTATGATATGCTATCAAGGTACTTAATAGTTTGCAAAGAATAGAGGATATTTTTCACGCAAGTCTCTTAATTTGTTGATTCCGTCCTCTTGATGCCAGAGAATGAAGGGATTTTTTAATGAGTATTTTCGGTTTAAAGAGAACATTTTATATTAAAAATACTTTTAAAAAGTTTTTGTTATGATTTTATGTGTATTTGTTATACAATTTAAAAGTATAAAAACTAAAATATATATTTTTCAATCAAGCTTCTTAGTTTTGTAGTGCTTATTTTATAGAGTTTAGGGTTCTTTTTACAAGTATTTAACAATTTGGAAAGTATTTTACATTGCAAAATATATTTTAAAATATTTATAGAGTTAATTATAATTTATATATATTCAGGTGATTTCAGTATACACTGGAAGTGTCAGAAAAAAAGCCTTCATATCTATTTGTGCAAGTATTTCATTTTTTAGAAAGAGTTTACATATCAAATATAGTTTTACATTTTTTTCCTAATCAGTTTTACTCTGAATTAATTATAAAATTAATGTTTATTACGGTATTTCAAAGAATAAAAAATATTTACTGAAGAAGAAACGGATTTTAATCTCTAAAACTAAGAATACATAATGACCCTCAGTAGAAGAATTCCTTTTCCACCTAAATTCTTAATTGCCTTAGCTGAAAGCCAAATAGTTTTTAAGTTTTCCTTAATGATTCGCAAAGTCTTTAACTGAATTTATTATTTTAAGAATAATTTTAATAGCGCTCCAATAAAAATCTAAAATATATAAATTTTATTTACTAAAAATTCATCTTTGAAGCCATTGGAATATATTAAAAATAAAGGTATTTTGATTAAAGCTAAGAAAAAGTGCCCCTAAGTAACCTGTGGTTATTTAATACATCTAATATAAATATAATATGGTAAAACAATGTATTTGGTAATTACCACATGTTATTTCTAGAATAAACTAAATTGTTTTACGTTTCATTTGAATTTCGCAGCTTTTATTTATCCCCTTCTGACCCCCACTTATACCAAGTGCTTTTGTCATCTCATTTAACTTGATTTTCCATGCAATTTTCCTCTGTCATTTTTATTATATTTGCACTTCTATTTGTGCACTCCGAGTTGACTTCAGCGGGGGGATTTAAGGGATTATCCTGGCACTGCATTCATTAGCTGGAGTTCCTTTCATGTTCGGACGCCATTGAATGCGACAAATGCCACTCCTGGGCATTGCCACTTGCCAACTTGCGGAGAGCTTGTTAGGGAAGGACAACTAACAAGCAAATTGATTGAAAAATGCTCAAAACTGAGGGAAATCCCTGTTCAAGTCCAAGTCTGAACAATGCAGCACAAAAAATAAAATCCGTAAACTTGGCCAAGCAAGAAGCATTTCCCTTCCTCCACCAACGAATTAAACAAGTTGCCGTCGAATCGATAGACATATGTCTCTCATCATTTGAAGGTCCTGCACCCCACATCCGGGGGGCAGATACATATGACAACAATGTCGATGACGACAGAGCCGAGCTCAGATTATGTGGCAAACGGAGGCAATGCCAAAGCACTCGAAGAAATTATGTTAAGTGACGACTCGGGCAAGACAAACACACAGGCGGCTCACGGCGCTGGGGAAAAGGATATTTGCCTGTCCTATATATAGGATATATGCACAAACATTTGCAGCCGATAGTTCCTTGTCCCCGCCACATTAAAGTCTGCAATTCTGGCGGCTTTCACTTTCTCCAACGCTCTATCGTTCGGAAAGGGACTCTCGTCCTTCCCCAACATGCATCCTGCATCCTTCGTTGGTGAACTTTCGCTTCGTGCCTGGCAACGTTTTAAATTCAAATCTGTTCGCCACCAACTGTCAGTTGTCAGCGAAAGTTCGAACGGCCAAGACGTTCAAAACGGAAAGAAATCTTAGAATAAAATCCTGTCTGCTCTTTAATGAAATTTTTGAAAAAATATTTATCAAAGCCTCAAACACTTTTCCACATATAAATAAAGTTTTCAAAATATATTTCACATAACGCAAGAGATCTTGAAAAACGCTGTATTCTTCAAAAATGCCATCAAGTGCGTCGAGCTGATGGTTATGTAATCTCGGTGAAGATTCCAGAAATCCATCAGAAAATAGTGCAGTAATATCGAAAATAAAACGTAATCGTGTTAACCAGCAGAGTGAAGTTAATTCTCAATTCATCACTTAACTGTGTAAGAATTTATAAATATTTTCATTGAGTATAAATTGATATATCTTTTATAGTTTTATGGATTAAAAAAATGAATATGAGCACAACATTTATAAAAACTAGAATATGATTTTATAACAGTTTATAATGTGACTTAAGTAAACCATTTTATTTTAAAGAAATTAATATTTTTAACAAGATCTGAAGTTAAGTTTGAAGACTTAAATAATTTAAAAACCATTTTATTTCTAATAAATGAAATTGTGCACCAATTTGTGACAAAGTTTATTACCTTTAATAATTTAAAACAGTTTAATTGAGATACTAAGAAATCTATAAAAATTAAGGAACAAAATCATTGAATATAAATAAAAAACACATATACACTATGTTTTGATAAAGCACTATTAAAATGTTTTATGTAACCCAAGATATTATTATAACTAATAAAAAATTTTAGATCGTATGCAATACGATATTCTTGATCAGCATCGATTGTTAATATTTATTGTAGTAGTATGATATAAACTTCTTCTTAAGGCTTTTATATAAACGATCGTAGAAAAAGAGGGATTTTTAATAAGAAAATCAATAAAAATGAATAGCTCAAGAAATTATTAATAAAATCGACGAATTGCTCCTATTTTGGAGTTATATTAGCAGCAATCAATCTAAACTAATAAATTCGGCTAAAGTGATGTGATATTATGCATAAATGTTTTATGTTTATTTATATGTTTTAAATGTTTCCTTTCGCGTAACAAATTAACTAACATTTTTGCCCACAAGTTAAATTCATAATTTTTTCAGAATTATACAATTTTCAATCTCAAAAAATATGCTTCAAAAGCAAAAATCAATACAAAAATCATTATTTATTGATAAGAGATCAGTATTTAGTAAAATATCAGAGAAATCCTTGATGTTTTATATCCCGAGTCACCCAAGTTAATATTGCTTATATTTTGTTCTTAACAATTATAAATGATTTTTCAAAACCTTAATTATTTAATCAACAATTAATCAATGACGTCCATAAATGTTTTCCAAAATTTAAATATATTGATTCTTTAAGTTGGCCCAATTTGCAAAAAACCAGAAGGGGGAACCTATATAGACTTCTGCCTCGCCAAGTAGCGTGGCAATTGTCCTTGTCTAATGGGGGCTCTGCAGCATTGGCAGGATTCTTTCTATGCCCGCTTTCTTCCTTTCTCCACGCTCGCCATCTGAGCAGAGGGGAGAGCGACGAGCGACGAGGGGCGTGGCATAGGCATCCTCGCATCCTCGCGAGCGCATAGAAAGGCGCATGGGCCACTTAAGGCACGGCTCTCCATGCCACCAGGAGGCACCACCACCTCCCACCCACCTCCTCCTAGCCGCCCCTCGAGTGGCTTTAATTGTGAATTAAGACGGTATTGTGCGGCAAGAGACTGGGACGGCGACAGGTATCGCTGCCAGGGTTGCCAAACCCCCGGTCGTTTGAGACATCTGTCAATGCCGAGGCTACTCTATTGTCGAGGGCCACTGTCCCTTTGTCTCGGTTTGATTCTCCACCCTTCTTCCCCTTCATTTTATTTACTTTGTTAAGCGGCATAATTGTTGCTATTTTCGTGCCAATCGCTCTCGATGCATTGTCAATGCCAGGGGGAATCTTCAAGTGCCTTTGATTCTGCCCACCTGATGTCCAAGGTCAAGGGTGAGACCTGGAAATCGTTTCAATTTGTTTTCCAAGTCGGTGTCACCTTCATTTTGCAGGAAGAACCCTGAAACAGGGGAAGATATTATGAATAATAGTCATTGAAAACAAGTGTTTAGGACGAATTTCTGTTACCTGATAGTTATTGATTTAAATAGCTTAATATAAATAAATTGAATCTTATTGAAGGTTATATACTATGATAGTTTTGTCAAGAAATTACTAAAAGGGTTTGGTTCTAGGAAGGCTTTGTAATAAAAAAAGAATATTTTACTGGTAACCAAAGTGTACAATGATATTGAACTAATTTTATTATATTGGTATCCCCAAGCTTTTACAGCTTTTGAGATCTAGGGGACAGACACGATTTAAGCAAGACTTAATTGCATTTTCTACTTATTCTTATCAATAATTTATACCCTTTTTGGGGCCCTAGGCTAAAATATTCTTGTATCCAAACATATTGTAAATTTAATCTAATTATAACTTTAATCATTATTCCCTTTTCTTCCACCTTCACTCAGTAAGATTGCCGAAATGGTATTCCAAATAATTATCCTGGTGATCTGTACCATCTGTCTCAAGCACTATGCCAAAGGGGAGTTTCAGTGAGTAAAACAAACCTTGAAACCTTAAAACCTATACAAAAATCACAAATTAAAAATCCATATAGACAAAGTCTGGCTATCACCGATATCCTGCCCGAGGACATCAAGCGATATGATAAAATGCGACCGCCCAAGAAGGAGGGTCAGCCCACGATAGTCTACTTTCATGTTACTGTAATGGGACTGGACTCCATTGATGAGAACTCAATGACCTATGTGGCGGATGTGTTCTTTGCTCAGACCTGGAAGGATCATCGTCTACGGTTGCCGGAGAATATGACGCAGGAGTATCGATTGCTGGAAGTGGATTGGCTAAAGAATATGTGGCGCCCAGACTCCTTCTTCAAGAATGCCAAATCTGTGACTTTCCAGACCATGACTATACCCAATCATTATATGTGGTTGTACAAGGACAAGACGATCCTGTATATGGTCAAGCTGACTCTGAAGTTATCCTGCATCATGAACTTTGCCATTTATCCCCATGACACGCAGGAGTGCAAGCTGCAAATGGAAAGTTGTAAGGGTTTTGAAGAATGTATTAAAGATTCGTTGTAATATTTGTTATTTATATATAGTATCCCACACCACGGATGACCTGATCTTCCAATGGGATCCCACCACACCGCTGGTGGTGGACGAGAACATTGAGCTGCCGCAGGTGGCCTTAATACGAAACGAGACCGCGGACTGCACTCAGGTGTACTCCACGGGCAACTTCACCTGTCTGGAGGTAGTCTTCACCCTCAAACGACGCTTGGTTTACTATGTTTTCAATACTTATATACCCACTTGCATGATTGTGATCATGTCCTGGGTATCCTTCTGGATCAAACCGGAAGCGGCTCCTGCTCGTGTCACCCTCGGGGTCACCTCGCTACTCACCTTATCCACGCAACATGCCAAATCACAGTCATCCCTGCCGCCGGTGTCCTATCTCAAGGCCGTGGATGCCTTCATGTCCGTTTGCACAGTATTCGTGTTTATGGCCCTCATGGAGTACTGTCTTATTAATATTGTTTTGAGTGATACGCCCATACCCAAACCGATGGCTTATCCACCCAAGCCGGTTCCTGGAGATGGCACTAAAAAGGAAGGAGAAGGTGGTGCTCCGCCAGGTGGAAGCAACACGGCTGGGAACAAGCAGGCCACCATGCTGCCTTTGGCTGATGAGAAAATTGAAAAGATTGAGAAAATCTTTGATGAGATGACCAAGAATAAGAGGGTAAAGAATGATCATCCTTATAGTTAACATATATTTTTTATAAAATATATATTTCCCCTTAGGTTGTGACCGCAACTCGTCGTGTGGTTCGTCCTCCGCTGGATGCTGATGGTCCCTGGATTCCGCGTCAGGAATCACGCATTATACTGACCCCAACTATTGCCCCTCCACCACCGCCACCGCCGCCATCGGTTCCGGATCCGGAGTTGCCCAAACCCAAGCTGACCCCTGCCCAGGAGCGGCTTAAGAGGGCCATTTACATTGATCGCTCCTCGCGGGTCCTGTTCCCGGCTCTCTTTGCCAGCCTCAATGGCATCTATTGGTGTGTGTTCTATGAGTATCTGTAAGATCGGATCGAAACCTGACATCTGACCTGTACATACTATACTTTCGCCGGCTCTCTCTCTCTCTCTCTCTCTCTCTCTCTATCTCTCTCTGTGTGTGTCGCTCCATCCGAGTGTTAAACGTTGATTGTTCGCATATATCGATTTACTCTTAAGCTTTCACGCACAAGCTTTAAGTCAATGAATTTTAAACTTAGACAATTGTTGAACCACAAAAAAACATAATAAGATAAAAACTCAAGATGCATTACAAATTATCAATTCAATTCCTAAGATGCTTAAAATTAATCAAGCCAATCGAGCTGTAGCTGCTGTAGATTAAGTGAATTGTAATTTAATGTCTCCAACAAATGCTTTTAATTGTAAATAAATAGAGAAATCATTCAAATAAGAGCACGAGCTTTTCTTGGTTGTAAGGATGTACTAGGTCCTTGAAGGACTAAAGCTTACAGCTTTATAATAGCTTTTGGAAAAAGTTCCATCAAAGGAACACAGTCTGAATTCTGGCCATAATAGTTTCTCGAGCGTTTTGGCCAGACCATTCATTTTTTAACACTTATTTTTTCTTCTTTGCTATTTATTTTTTATTTCTCGGTAGTTATAAGTTTATTTCGCGCTGCTTTTTCTTTTAAAGGTGTCAACATTGGTTCGCACAATGGGGCCTGCTCGGATTTCTTTGGAGCCATAGACTTATGAATACCCAATTAATTATGTTGGTCACACGCTCTTCTACACTTTTTCCCTTTTCACGGTCGTTAGTGACGCCGCAGATATAAAGTTAAAGAAAAGGTTAAAAAACGTAGACAAAATGTACCAATTGAGCAGAAGATAAGATGACTTTATGGAGAAGAGATATTTATAAGATACACCATCCGGCCGATTAAAGATACGTTGTATTTTTCATTAAGGCCTTGTAATTATTTACCACCATCTTATTTCCACTTAAATTTTTTGTTTAATTTTTGTGGGGTTTCTCCTACTAACATCAATCATGTGTGTTTATTTTTTCGGCTAAACCATTTGCATTTGAAGTAGGCCAGGCCAAAAGAGTTCGGTTCGGTTTTTGTTTTGGGGAAACCACACCATGATTCACCCAAAAAGCCACACAGTACTCGATGGAGTGGATTGCATTGGCAAAAGGAAAACAAGCTAAGGTTGCGCAAATATTAAATATATATTTTGGTCTGCGGGAATACCTGAGTTTTGAGCCACTATGTGGGCGAGTGTTCAATGCAAATTAGTTTCGGGGGTTCAATGGGTTTGCTGGTCAAGGCAACTTTGTTTAAATATATTTTAATTTATAAAAGTACATCCATAGATAAGAATTATCAGAGTAAGAGAGCCTAACTCTGGCTGAGAGAGAGAGAGAGCTGAAGTTAAAGTTTGAAGAAAGTAAAAATCCAGCTGACAACCTCACAGTTCCCCCTCTGTTACCTGCGATCTTCCCACAAACAAAAGCCGAAACGAAAACGAAACGAAATGCTCCAGCAGCGGCAATAACAACACGTTGGAGTTAAGGCCAAAAGCTGGCTGAAAACGACGCCACAAAATGTTGACTGAGTGTCTTCGGCTTTGCGTTTTGTCTTCTGCATTTTCAGTTTCAATTTCAGTCGAACTCGGGCAGCAACGGCACACGGAAGCAGGCCGCTTCACTACGCTTCCAAAATAATAAAAAATAAATAAAAGTTAAAAAAAACCCTATATAGAGCCGAAATCATAAAATTTACTGGTGATTTAATTCGAGCAACAAGGCTTAAAAGTGAAATTTTTGCATCATTTCGCAATCGGAGCATCGGGAAATAAAAATAAATATTACAAAATTCAATTAAAGCTATTAAACTGGCAACAAGTTAACACCAAGGCTAAAGTCATACCAATATATTGGAACCGAGAAAAAATAAAGAAATAAAATAACAAAAATACAACACTTTTTAACACTTTCATTTTCGTTCAGAGTCGTCGCTTTTCGTTGGGTTCGTTTGTTCGTCATCACATCGCGCCGTTCGTTGAGTGTGTTAAATAATAGTAAACAAAAAAAAGTGAACGAAACGAAACTACCTAAAAATTGTCGGCAAATGTTAAACGTCTTTTTTGTTTAAACCAAAACGGAAACTGCATTTTGAGGCATTTTGAAGTTCGTCAAAATGCAGGCAACGCCATTTCTGCTCTGCCTGGGTTGGTATTCAGTATAAATAAATAAATATACAAAACCCAAAAATTAACGCATAATTAACCTAGTTTTTTGGGCCTTCCAAAATCGATTTTAAATACATATGTTGTAATAGTCATTTATGTGCGGCTTATGGTTAATTTGTGCTAATGTGCTGCGCAAAAAAAAAAAAACAAAAAACAAAACTATATAAATAAAAATAAAGCGAGGGAAAACAAAAGACTTAGGCAACGAACTCGAATGCAACCGCTGTTTGGGAGTCTTTCTTCGAATCATTTTTCGTGCAACTGCGCGATGACTGCTTGCAACTTTCGTTTGCTGCCAATATAAAGCTTCCGCTCGGTGACGTCAGAGCCAAAAAGAAAACCAGCTGGCATGCAAATCACACAAAAAAACACGGCTAACACCAAGGCCAATCGGAGATCTCCCCGCGTCCCAAGTACACTTTCGTACGTGTTTCTTGGTATTATAACAGCGCCAGGCTTTACCATCTACTATTATGCAACTAAAAACACTAAAAATAAAAGCTAAGAAAAAACTTGTCAACGCCGACTGAATGTTGGTGCCAAGAAATAAAAAAACTCCACTCTCGGCGGGTTTTTTGCTGATGCCGCCTGACCATGAAGTGTTCAATCTCCACGGATTCGGAAGTCAGCTGCCAGTTTCACTGCCTCTACTTACCCCCCTAACTGGGGGGATTAGTGGTTGGTACTTTTCCAGCCTTTCTTTGATTATATTTTCACTTTCGTTGACCGAACAATTACTGGAAAATCACTTGCCAGGAGCTTATGAAACTCTTTGCTCTTAATTGGATTACAGATGAAGTTAATAACAAAGATTGCTGTTACTTTAAGGAATATTACAGTTTTTTGTTGAATTTCTGAATGATTTCATTTGTAAAATATATTATATTTATGTGAGGTTTTAACTATTACACTTTCCTTTGGGCTTAGAGCACTCTTTCTTTATTTTAATGCAAAGCCAAGATGTCTGGAGAAGTACTTTATGTTTATAAATGGTTTTAATAGTAATAAAAAAGTTTTCTCTGCCTGGAAATGTTTTAAAAACTTACCTTAAAATGTCTAGTTTTGATAAAAGTAGGCACTTAATGTGGTTTTGGCTTACCAACTTTTATTTCTTCTCGAAGTTGTTAACCATTTAAATAGTTTATAGCCGCAAGACAACTTTTATGAGCGCACCTTAATGTTCGACTTGACGGTACTTTATATTATTATAAACATTATCCAAAAACTAGAACGAAAACAGATATATTTTTCTACTTTAATTGTGCTCTTAAGCCTTTCAAAATATTTCATAAAAACAAGTGCTAAATCATTTTCAAATTAATTTTCCCTTTTTTCTTTACGTTTCAACGGAATGTGTGACACTTTTTTGGGTCAAAATGCAAAAGAGTCCAAAACAAAAGAACAATGAACCGAAAGGAGAGCATTCGTATATGTGGCGAATGTGCTTAGTCTGTTTAGGGGCCCCTTTGGGGCATTCACTTTTTCCCAAGAAATCATTTCTATATAAGCCCTATAATTGGCCAGCATTTCATTGTGTTTTTTTTTTTGAGGCGAGCAGACAAGCCAGAGCGGCGGCTGAAACACAAAATAAAGCATTGCCATTTGGTATGGGCAATTTTATTCCAAGTGAAAGTGGCAAAGTTGCAGTGCACACCTCGAAAAATGTTAATGAGGCAGCTTGGGCTTGGGGATCTTGGCTTAAAAGGAAAAACAAAATAAGAAAGAGGCAACATTAAACCGTAACTGTAGCAGCTTAACCCAAATCACTGCCAGATAATCAATATTGTTATCTTACCAAGCAGCCAGGTGAAATCTTTATTGTTTTGCCGACCTTGAGAGATGCTTCATTATCCACTTATATAAAGAATATCCAGCGAGGAAGTTCCTCCTTTTTGATGGTATCTTTCCCTTTGGAAAAATGTCAAGTCATTAAGCAAACCACGAGGAGGCGAACCCGTAAAAAATATCATAAAAAACCAAAAGCAAACCAAGCCAAACGGACTCTGATTATGTCACGGCAGCCAAGCAAAGTAAACACACTGCTAAATAAACATTAAGCGCTTCAGTTGAACGACAAAACAGAAAAAAGGGGTTAAGACATGGGTGTACACGGGGGGATAGGAGGGGAGTGGTGTGACGGGGGGAGCACTGGAGTCATAACCGGCGACATACTTTCCACATTTAAAGGGACAACGGGGCGGATGCGTAATGCCAATTTGTGACATTATTCAACAGACGGCAAAGCGACGGCAACGATTTTGCATAGCGGCCATTGTTCGATTTGAAGTGAGTTAGGTCAGTTAGGATCCAGGGGATTTCAAGTGCTTCCTGGTTTTAAACAGTGCGTTTCATAACTTATAAGTGAACACCAATTACTAAAATATTTATAAATTAAATGTTTATGGCGTATTAATTCACGAAGCAAGGGAATGCCAGGCAGCACTAATTTATTTGTGTTTTGTTAAATAAATAAATATTGATTGCTCTAGAAAATATTAAAGACTCATTGGGTTTTCTGCTGTTTGATAATGCTTCTTTATGAAAGAAGTACTTTCATATTATTATGTCTTTGATTATAGGACACATATGAAGAAATATTAGGCATCCAAGTATATGTATAAGCTTATAATCAATACCAAGCAGTACTAATTTATTCGTGTTTAATTAGAGGAAAAATATTAGGGAGTCATTGGGTTTTTTGCTGTTCGATAATGCTTTTTCACGAAACAATTGCAAGATAATAAGATATGGCTTATTAATTTTTAGAAGTCACAGTATGAGTAATTGTTGAAAATCAATAGTTACCGCTTGTATGTAAGTTATCAGGAAACATCAACTATGTATTGAACCTTCTTATCAAACAAATATAACAATTCAATACATATAGTTTTCTTTTTTTATGCATATACTATATATTATAAGTACATATATATATATATATATGTATATGAGCTATTTTGCTTTTATGTATATTAGATAACATGAATTAAATTGGATTGATATTAAAGATACTGCACTGGGGAAGCCTATAATAAATAATATTCGTTTTGTATTTTATTTGACAAGTTCTCCCAAAGACTACAATTAATAAAAACCTATAAATTACAAAGCGCTATTTGTAACTAGCAAATTAATTTTCAGATAATACAATAAATTACAATATAAAGAGATTTAAATATTTCCTCTACTAAAGTTACAACTAACTTAAACAAATGTTAAATAAAATATAGCCCAGATATTTACTGTTAAAAACAAAAAGTTTAAATTTAATATAACTCATTTTTAATAATTAAATAACCTGTTCCCTCTTTCAGTACTCTCCGCTGGAACATTACTCTTCACCAGAGCACAATCACAAGATGATGTCCTTGATGAGGAGCAGCCTCTTCACTTGACCAACGACGGTAAGTGCCACCAGGATGCGTATAGCTGCCACGGACATTCACAACTTTAACTCTTAAGGCAGCGTCTTTCTTTCAGCCGCACCTCCATGACCGACGCCTTGGGCGTCAGCTAAGTGAAGATTTGGGACTGAGTTCGGCCAGCACGGGGAGTGGTTCCTCCTCCGCCAGCAGCCAGTCCAGCTCTGCCTACGATGATGAGGATGATGAAGAAGACGATGACATCGAGGGCTCCAGCGAGTACTATGACAGCGATGAGGAGCAAACCGAGGGTAGCAATGAGTCATTGCCACGACAGCTCTCCCAGTCCACCTTTAAACGCATCTCGGATACTCTGGGAGCACTGAACCATGTGGGTCACATGCTGGTGGACATAACACGCGGTGGACAGGATCAGTCCAAGACGGAGGATGTTAACAAGAGTGAGGACAAAACTGATAGCTCCTCCAGCTCTACATTGAGTGTATCCAGCACCACGGAGGTGGTTCCATCCTCCACATCCTCACCTCTTGGAAAGTCTGAAACCCTTCCCGGAGTCTCTGGGAAACTACTGGATACTCTGCCCATTACACTATCCGCCAATAGTTTGTTGCCAGCTGGCAAGCCAGCTAACTTGAGCGTTATCCAGGTGGCCACCAAGAGATTGGATGATCATTCGCCCATGTTTGTGGAGAACAAGGAGCTCAAGCTGAAGAAAAAGAAAAAGAAGAATAAGAACAAGCAGAAGGTAAAGAAACCTAATGAGGAGTTGGTCCAAGGAGCACAGCAATCCCAGCAGAAAATCAAGATTCCCACAACACCGCGAACCACAACCAGCACCACCACAAGCACCACTTTAAGGCCTTTGGATCAGTTGGCGGTGGCTAGTGATGAGGCGGGAACCGCCAAGGATGTGGAGAACTACTGCAAGACGCCGAGTGGAAGGCCAGGACGCTGTGAGGATCTTAGCAGCTGTCCAGCCCTGCTGCTGAACCTAAGCAGCTTGAGGGAATCGCTGTGCTTCAAGAGTCTCTTTGTTCCTGGAGTATGCTGTCCTTTGTCCTCAACCGCTGCATCATCTGAGAGCTCTACTGTGTTGACCACTCAAAGACCTCTGAAGTTGACCACAAGACCACCTCCAAGTACAACGACTACAAAGGCCTCTCAGTCCACCAAAAGGACAACACTGCGACCTACAACCAGACCCACCTCGGGTCTAGTGCTCATTCCCCAGAAGAAGCCACCAACGACAACGACGACCACGACGACAGAGGTGCCGCTGGAGCCGGAGGGTCTGGATGAGATTGGAAACAATATTGTGGATCCCGATGAGTGTGGTCAGCAGGAGTATTCCACGGGTCGAATTGTGGGCGGAGTGGAGGCACCCAATGGCCAGTGGCCTTGGATGGCTGCCATTTTCTTACACGGACCAAAGCGTACAGAGTTCTGGTGTGGCGGCTCCCTGATTGGAACCAAGTATATCCTCACAGCTGCTCATTGCACCCGCGATTCTCGCCAGAAACCGTGAGTTTAAGGATAATAGAAAGCTCCTCTCAAAGGATATTAACTTCCTCTTTATTATAGATTCGCTGCCCGACAGTTTACAGTGCGACTGGGTGACATTGATCTGTCCACGGATGCGGAACCCTCTGATCCGGTGACCTTTGCCGTTAAGGAAGTGCGCACTCATGAACGGTAAGTTATCTATAATTAAATCGTTTGAAAATATTTATATAAATTTTAAAAATTCCTTTTCCAGTTTCTCCCGAATTGGCTTTTACAACGACATTGCCATCTTGGTGCTGGACAAGCCGGTGAGAAAATCCAAATATGTGATTCCTGTGTGCCTGCCAAAGGGTCTCCGTATGCCGCCCAAGGAGCGTCTGCCAGGACGCAGGGCCACCGTTGTGGGCTGGGGCACCACTTACTATGGTGGCAAGGAGTCCACCAGTCAGAGGCAGGCGGAGCTGCCCATCTGGCGGAATGAGGACTGTGATCGCAGCTACTTCCAGCCCATCAATGAGAACTTTATCTGTGCAGGATATTCGGATGGCGGAGTGGATGCCTGTCAGGTAAGTCAAAGCAATTTATCCTTAATAAAAAAGGTATTAATTTTATATATTACTTTAAAAGGGCGACTCTGGTGGTCCCCTGATGATGCGATATGACTCCCACTGGGTCCAACTGGGAGTGGTTTCCTTTGGCAACAAGTGTGGGGAGCCAGGGTATCCTGGTAAGTTTCTTATAGATATATCCTTGGATTTTACTATACCATTATCTCCTTAAAGGTGTCTATACTCGCGTTACTGAATATCTGGACTGGATACGGGATCATACGAGGGATTGATCTTAAAGCAGATCCCAACCTATCCACCTTAGCCGTAACTGTAGCCTAAAATTTAGGTAACACTAGTCTATGTACTCTTAATGTCCCTACTTCTCCCTCCTCTTCCTGTTCTATGTGCAGTGTCTTATTTATTAACCGCAGCCCATTGCTATAATGTATAGCATTTGTTGACTAAATTATTAAATATTTAAAGATTATAAATAAAGTGTGTGAAGAAAAGATCTATGATTGTTTAGAAATTTATTACAAGAAATATATTCGAATTAGTAAATATCAATTGTTAATTGTAATCAAGATCAAGATGGTAACTTGATTAATCTATTAGATTTTATAGGTTCTTTATGCATATATTTAATATGCCTCCTATGAAAATTTCAGACCGACTTGACTAAATCGATTCGCCTGGTGATGCTTATACATACATACATATATAATTTATATTTTTTATGTACTTTAATTGCTTTTTAGCTGCTTTCTATTGCCTGTTCTGTTGCCATTAAGTTGTATTAACTTGTTACCAAATGAGTATAGTATATAACAACAAAGTTTTATTATAGTTTGTAAAGTTTTTTATATATTTTACAGCTAGTTACATGGCTTTATTTATATAGTTTGCTGTGGAGTGGGATTGTTTAGATAGTGATGTAACCCAAACAGAACTTAATGAAACGTAACTAATTGATTGTGATCGGTGATTCACAACATTAGAAAAAAATGGGAAATGGGAGTTACATTACCCTCCAAGCCATCTATTTATCTATCTACAAATATCTTATATTACTTACAATTTCCGGTAGCACACCGTAATTACAGTTCGAAATCAAACAAAATAGGTTATATTAGCTAAATATATAGTAATTCTCATGCTTACAAGCTGATTAACTATACTACTTGACATTCCCGAAATTATCAATGGTGATGCGACTTGCTGATAAGTTCATTCATCCTACTAACTATTGTTTTTTTTATTACTTGCCGGGAAATACTTGGTAAACAAACGTGAGCAATTGCATAAAGTTGTCTTTTTTTTCGCCGGTTCTCTCTCTTTCTCATGCTCTTTAAAAAAAGTCTATATACAATAAGCACTCAGTTGGCATTAAGCTTTCACAGCTGACGGACGCGAAAAGGTTTCCCTCCAACCGGCAAAGTTCGCGTATTTTTAATAATTTATCAATTCAGTAGTTCAAGGTGTTTCGCCAAGTACTTAATTTACCATCTGTACTTATTGTGATGATTTACTATAATTATAAATCATAATATTGTTCAAAGTGTGCCCATAATCTTCCAACATTTTTGCTGTGCGTGGGACTTCAAAGCTTTGTGTGTTTGTTTATGCAAAGCTTTCTTTTGGCTAAACGCGTGGTAAGTACTATACCAAAAAAGTAAGAGAAAAAAGCTTATTTTTAAGGGAGAATATGTTATGCATATTGGGGAGAGAAGTCAAAAAGGTCATGGAGGTATTAAGTTGGCACTGAAAAAAGTTGAGTCACTGGGAATTGGATAATTATGGCATTTGGGTTACCTAATATATAATATTAATACTATATATTATTTACATCAAATCGTATTCCTCTTTCATGTTGTTAAGTGTAAAGGCTCAAGCTTTAAGCTTTACCATAGTTACTTATGTTATGTTAAACTGATATGTAAAAGCTTTATGCTTATGTTATTTATGCGATGTAAGCATTTACAAGCATTTTGTGACAGCTTTCAGGGCGGTTTTATAAACAATATTAATATAAATTAAATCGTCTGAAGTACAGATTTAGTTTTATGTGTTATTTATGAAAAAATTATAAACGAACTATAATTTTAAATTATATTTTCTTAAAAATAATATTAAACTATATCTGTACTTCGAATTTGTATTTGTATTTATATACGATAAAGCTGGTGATGTAAGGTCTTCTCATCATTTACAATTATTCATCGCTTTGTTGAAAAATTTATCATATAACCGGAAATGCTTTGTTTATACATAATTGGCTTAAATTAATTTGCTGAAATCAAAACTGCAAAACACTTATAAAACTTAATTATAGGTTTGTTAAAATGATTATTACTCTTAAAATCCGTTCAATTTAATTCGTTTATAATAATTTCATAATTTTTCGTAATGGGATAACTTGAACCATAACCTTCCTCACTTCAATTGAATGCAAATTTGCTTGTTTTCAATTTTATAAAATAAAATAATATTTACAAAAAAGATTCTGATTGTTCCCGCCCGGGTTCGAACCGGGGACCTTGTGCGTGTGAAGCACACGTGATAACCGCTACACTACGGAAACGCTTGGAGATCGGACGGATTAAAAACTACCAAGAGGGAAACAGCTGTTTTGGCATACACTATTTCTATTTATATTCTTTTATGATTATTTAATAGCTTATCTAAACTTTTATTGAAGAAATGCTGAGGAAAATTATGGTGGCTGTCTTTTTTGGTTACAACATTAATAGTTAAAATATAGATTTCAGCGAACAAATAACACTTTTAAATTATTATTATTGTTAGTGTAAACTCTTAGGCCAGGAATTCTGCCTTAATCAGATATTTTTTAATTCAAAGCAATCTACTCTTTCATTTCTATATATAGGTATCATTTTATTTTTTTTATAATAATATTTATTTTTTATTTATTTTTATAATAAAGTCAACTTGATTTTTAAAAATAGATCAGAAATATAAAAACTGTGCGTAAAACTTTCCTTGTTTTTACAAATTACTCTTCAGATTATGTACTCTCTTAAGATTATGTATTTTATTGCTTATCTTTGGCGTTATATTTAAATACTAAGTGTAGTCTTAAAAAACAGAAATATGGAAACGAAAATTCCCAAATGGAAAAGAATTATTTCTGGGTCTTAACAATTTATTTCTGAGGGTATAGACATAAACTAATATTTGTTAAATTTAAATATTAGTGAATACATAACAAAATGTAGAAAAAGTAATTTGTGGGCCTTACAAAATTATTTCTAACTGAATATGCATAAAAAAAATATTTGATAAATTTAAATATTAGTAGAAGTAATATTTATATAGGAAAAAAACTCGAAATATTGCCCGAAATAATAAGTAATTTTACAATGCAAGTTTTTAGCATCAAGTATGGCTTAACAAGAGATAAAAAATATAGATATATGTTTCGAAGAAACAGTATTATTTTCTTTCATACTATCATATTAATATAAAGACAAAAGTTATAAAATATTAAATTTTAAATATAAAAAATACAAAAAAAGATTTCAATTATGTTCCCGCCCGGGTTCGAACCGGGGACCTTGTGCGTGTGAAGCACACGTGATAACCGCTACACTACGGAAACAACTGAAATCAGCTTGTTCCAATGGTGGTCATATCACGAAGATCATGGTTAAATACCATTCCATACCCATTATTGCTTGGCAGTAACAACAAATCCAGAGGCAGCATAAGATTGCCCTGAACAAAATCCATTTCTCTGCTTTGTCATGCCGCTCTTAATTAGCCCTTACTTGTCCGCTCCACACACAATTGGCCAAGAGTATGGTGGGGTGAGGAGAGGTGCGGGGGGCGAGAGAAAGACATTCCCGACATGCCTGAAAGACGCTGACCAGATTACCAACCAATGCTCCCTCTCTCTCTGGGGAGGAGGAGGAGCTAGGGATGCTGCGCTGGCCCACCTTTAAATAAATTCGAGCACGCTGATCCTTGATTAAAATTCCTATTGTCTTGTACGCTTTCGGCCGGGCCAAGAAACGTCGCCCCTTTCATTGCTCCGCTTTTGTGCGGCACCGTGAACGTAATTAATATGCAGGCCAGAACGGACTCTAACTGCTCTCTGGCACTCGTTATAATTACGCATTTAAATTGGCACAAAGGTTGAGGCCAGACACGAACACTGAGCCGAATAAGGATATCTTTAATTTTGGGTAATGGATTATGTATTTGAAGCTATTTTAATATAACAATATTTTAAATGGGAAACAGTTTAAAAGGATAAGAACTAGATAAATATTTCAACTAATTTCCATAGCAATAATTAATGACAAATAGAAAGGCTTAAAAATAATATCTAATCTCTTTATATTCCATTTATGAACTAAAAACTCTTTTTCGGCTCTCAAAAAAGTATTTTTTTTTTAATGTTTTTAGCCATTTTAAAACTTAGTTTATAAAATTATTCAGTTTTTTTATTGGGTTTAAATATTTTAAACTTACTTTTAACATATTTTTAGTTATTAACAAACAAATTTCCACTCACAGTGCAATCATCAAGTCCTTCCGGATTCTCTAAAACTATACTTACCATTTCTTAACATTTTTAAGCATTTTTACATATGTTTATCAAATTCTTAATGTTTTGTTATTAAATTTACATTTTTTTAAACTTATTTTTTACTTAATTTTGGCTATTAAAAAACAAATTTCCATTCACAGTGCAATTAAATAATCCTTTAAGATTCTCAAAAACTCCTTTTACTATTTCTTAATATTTTTAAGCACTTTTAACATTAGTTTATAAAATTCTAAATTTTTATTATTTAATTTCAAACTTTTAAACTCACTTTTTACATATCTCTAGTTATTAACAAACTAATTTCAACTCACAGTGCAATTAAATCCAAGAGTAACGCCAAGAGTTCACAAGGAAGCTCCTTCGTGTGTGAGTGTGCGGGGGTGGATATATGTATATATATACGGATATGTGTGTGTGTGGCCCCATAAATTTGGGTCAATGGGAAAAACGTCAGAATTGAGTAATTACAACATAATTTTCAATTTTGCAGTTTACGTTGTAAATTAATTTGCGGTCGACATTGGCGTAGCAGCCTCAGATCAAGCTGTTCCATTCCAACCGCTTTTCACTCCCTTTTCATCGCCGGGTTAACTTGGGTGGGGTTTTGATCTCTGTGTGCTGTGTGCTCTGAGCTCTTTGGGGTACTGAGTTTTGGGTTCAGAAGGGGATTGCACAACAATTAAAGCAACAATTACTGGACAGCTGGACAGCTGGAAAGCCATTGGATTTGGCGTTGTGTATTTGCGACGAGCTTTATACGGTAAATGTATATTGTTGTTCCGCCATTCTCGGTTGGGGGGTCATCCGTTTGTTGTGCATAATTAATGGTTAATATAAACGTATTGATACCCAGTAGGTGAAGAGGTCAAATGGACTGGAATATTTGCAAGCCAAGAGTAGCCTTTCCCTTGACATTTCATTTCAATTGGTTCAAGTTCTTGTGCAAGTCTTTAGCTATTTGCAAAGTAAAATAGACTGCCTTATAGCATATGTTTTCGAATTTATTTTGAATTATCTCAAATTTAACTTGATTAAATTTATATATTTTTTTTGTATAATTAGGTATTTTATTATACTGTATAATACCTTTTCCGTCATACCTTTTAAATTCAATTGGTTACTAATTGGAAAATACAATTTATTCCACACCGGAAACGAATCTAATGCTTTTGTCCTCTCCACAAATAAATTATATACTATACAAAAATAAATAAATTAGCCTGGGTTTCACAACAATTAAGTTAATATGGTAATTTAGGGGTGGCCAGGAAATACGTTGACGTAGTAGAAATTTGTTTGTATTAGTAAAAATATATAACTAAGTAACTAGAGAGGAAAAAAAACCGCAAACATTTTACCATATGTAGTTTTTTATAAAAATAGTCGTGTATAGTAAAAATATATTATTAAACCCAAGCCAAGCCTTTGAAAGTCTTAGAAACAAAGAATTGTTTTAAGTATTTAAGTTCCTAAATAATTCTATATATTAAGAATTTATTATTCTGTTAACTACGCTAACTTAATTTCTACAATAACACTTTGAAAAGGGCTTCATAATTTATTAAATTTAGTTTCAAAAACCCAAAATGAAAAACAAATGAGTTTAGTGAAAACCACTGCAGTGCAAATTGACAGAAAATTCAATTTTCAATTAAATTTCAGTACGTGACTGATGGACATTCGTTCCAGAAATGGAGCCGCTCTTTATTTTATTCCCATTTTTTCCCCTCCATCTCTCTGCCACTCTGGGTATCAATGTATTTTTAAAAGTGACAAAATAGTTTTCTCATCACCATCATCAGCAGACCCCTTGGGGACACTGACTGTGTTGTGTTTTTCTTTCTGTACAAAACTGTTTACGATTTTACAGCTGAATGGATTTTAATTGGAAGCACCAAAAGACACGCTAGTGTCAATGACAGAGAGAGAGAGAGAGGAGGAGGAGCATGTAAGGGAGGTGTTATCCTGGCAGGATTTCTACGAGAGAAAGGAGTCGAAAGGACATGGGCAGCAGCAGCTGTGACAGGACTTTGGATCATGGGGAGGGTTTCTGTTGCCGCCCAACAAAGATGAAATAAA